GCAGATATGGCTCTCCCCATTATTCTCACAATAACCCTGTGAGGTAGGTTTGGATGAGAATCAACAACTGGCCCAAGGTCACCTTCACGGCTGAATCAGGACTAGAACCCGGGTTTCCCAAACCTCAGTCCAGCGCTATAACCACTGTACCACAAGGGATCTGAACTCATGCGTCAAATAATTCTTGGCTGCTGTTAAATTGAAATGAACTGAGTTTGGATGAGCTTTCTGGAGAGTAGAGGGGTGAGTGTTTTTATGGGGGCTCATATATGAATGTATAAAGCACTTGATTGGGGATGGGGCTCCCCACAGACGCTCACCTTGGCAGCCTTTAGGCACCGAGCAAAAGCATTCCGGTTTGACCAAACATTTGGTTGCTAATTGAATCATAGTGCCGATTGATTGTGACTTGCTTCTAGGTGTTCACGTTTCACTGGAGTGTGTTTTTTCTGGGGTAAGATTCAGCTTTTTCATTCTTGTTGATGGACAAACACTTTTGTTATCCTCCAGTTGAGTTCTGCGTTGCAGATTTTTAAAGGTTTCATCGGTTTTTCCGTATTACAATATTCCGCAAGTTGCTTTGGACCTTTTCTTTTTTAAAAAAATGATGGGCAAATATCAATAATAGCCATATCAATAATAGCCATAGCTCTCTGTTGCTCCTTTCCAGCCCAGCATAGTCTACCTGGAGCGGGGACGTCTCTCCAAGGTTTCAGGCACAGGGAGACCCCTCCCGGCTCTGACTGTCAATGTGCTTGCTTTCAAAATTTCAAGGCTGTGAACCTTCGCAGGGTTGGAACCATTTGTGGAGGAACATAGAATTGCAGAGTTGGAAGGGATCCTGTGGATCACCTAGCCCAACCCTCTGCAATGCAGGAATCTTTTGCCCAACATGGGGATCGAACCCACAACCCAGAGATTCAGAGTCTCATGTTCTACCAACTGAGCTATCCTAGTTTATCACACGTAGAATTAATAATAATAATAATAATAATAATAATAATAATAATAATTTTTATTTATACCCCACCCTCCGCAGCCAAGGCCGGGCTCAGAGCGGCTTACAAGCAATAATAAAACAAGTTGAATGATTACAACTTAAAAACAAAATTAAAATACAACATTAAAATATTGAAACATTAAAATATTAAAATGTAGCCTCATCGCAGGAGGAGAAGGAAAGGAAAAAAGAAAGAGAGGGAGGGAATCAAATTGGCTCCAAGCCAAAGGCCAGGCGGAACAACTCTGTCTTACAGGCCCTGCGGAAAGAAATCAGATCCTGCAGGGCCCTGGTCTCATGAGGCAGAGCGTTCCACCAGGCCAGAGCCAGTGTTGAAAAGGCCCTGACTCTGGTTGAAGCCAATCTAACTTCCTTAGGGCCCGGGACCCTAAGTAGTAATAATAATTTAATAATTATTAAATGTCCACAGCTGCAAAATCTTAAACCCACCTGAGAGCAAACCCCATTGAGCTCAGCAGGACCTCTGAGCAGGTGTGTGCATAGATACTAGACAACAGAATTGAGACTTGAGGAATTCTATTATTTCTTTCAATCAAGCGGCATATAAACTTCATGAAACAAATTATATGGTGTGACATTCAGCTAGGCCCATTGGAATGAATGAACATAGCTAAATTAAAGCCAGTAATCTCAGTGTGTCTACTCTGAGTAAAGCTTAGTTGCAGGCCACCCATGGTGGCAGACGACAGCCGCAAGTATTTTTATTCCATCTCCCAGTTTCCTTTTGATTTCCTTCGGAGCTGTCCCACCCAACAGCTAGCAGATGTGTACCTGCTCACAGGACAGTGTTTGAATACCTGTTTAATAGGGATGCGGGTGGCGCTGCGGTCTAAACCACTGAGCCTCTTGGGCTTTCCGATTGGAAGGTCAGTGGTTCGAATTCCCACGACGGGGTGAGCTCCCATTGTTCAGTCCCAGCTCCTGCCAACCTAGCAGTTCGAAAGCACACCAGTGCAAGTAGATAAATAGGTACGGCTGCGGCGGGAAGGTAAACGGCGTTTCCATGTGCTCTGGTTTCCATCATGGTGTTCCATTGCACCAGAAGCAGTTTAGTCATGCTGGCCACATGACCCAGAAAGCTGTCTGTGGACAAACGCTGGCTCCCTCGGCCTGAAAGCGACATGAGCGCCGCAACCCCAGAGTCGCCTTTGACTGTACTTAACCACCCAGGGGTCCTTTACCTTTTTTTTTTTACCTGTTTAATAGGGAACGATTTCCCTCAGAAGTTCAGTGATCTTCTGGCACCGAATGTGATTAATCCGTAGATGTTTTTGGTTGTTTAGCTCCCAATGTCAAGGTTACAGGCCTGCCGCCGTGACCTTCATTTAGCGGCCCACAATCGGCCTATTGTTTTAAGAGTTATTGCTACAACATCCTGGTTGGGTTGTATTATTAAGTTCCGCACAGTACATTTTGCCAGTTCCACACGCCCTCCCACCTCGGTGATAAAAGAGAGACCTTTTGAATCATATTTATTAAAGTTTCCAAAAATATAAAAATACAAAGAAAAAAGACAAAAGAAAGAAGATATTTAAAAACCTTACTTTCATTCCCTACTTTCTGGGACTCCCCCTCCCCCAATTGTATTCCCTTTCCTTAATTTGGTTCTACAAGCTCTCACTCCCAAATTTAAAGCTTAATTTGTTTAACCCACTATCCAAATTGAATTGTACAAATCTTACCACCGTCCCACATCATTAACAGAAAAAGAAAAAAGATTTTCCCCAAGATCCACCCCAGTTCCTTCCACAAATTCCCTTTTTTTAAACACGTCCAATCAAAATAAAATAACATGCGTAAGTTATATAAAGAAATAGAAAATAAGAGATATAGAAAGATTCAAAAAATGGTTACACAGCCTTTGGATTTCAAATCTCCCCCTTCCCCGGTTTGAATTCCCCATGTCCATCAGTCTATACATTATCAGCTTGGAAGTCTCATTTCATGACCAGATTTCTCCCGATTCCATCTTGCCGGTTTTCTTTTAGTTTATTAATTTAAATAATATTTGACTTCAAATGTCCAATCTAACAAAGGCCTTTAATTTCCTTGATCTTTACCACTCCTCCCGTTGTTCTTTCCGTGTCGTAATCAGTCCTTTATTCTTCTTATTCCTCACTTTCTCAGGTTTCTTGTCCTGTTCAGCTGCTAAAACTTTCTAATTCAGAAATCTAGTGTCTCTGCAGAGGTTTGTTATTCAGGAACAAAAACTTACGTCCAGTCCCTTTCTTTCTTCAATAAAAATTCCATTGTCTTCCTCTGTAGACAAAATACTCTTTCAGTTTTGCAGCTTTCCCAGAAGATAACAAATCCTGTGCGAATCCCAGGGTATTTTTCCACTTACGACCGTTCTTGTAGTATCCTGAAACCCCTCTAGGGGGATTGTAATAACTTTGTATCCTCTAATCCAAAAGTCAAATTGTTGCTTATTTTCCAACAGTTTATATCCATATTATAGCAAATTGTAGCAAAATTAACCAGCAAGGTCCTCATAAAGTCCTCTTTATATTCTCCAGCTTTGACAGCCACTTTGACAGCTGTCAAAGTCTCCGTCTCTCTTCACCAGGCTCCACGAATCGCCCCGGTTCCCAGGGGGGGGGGTTGCATTTTTCTTCTCACCCTCCACTCTTCTCCTCCAGCACATTTCTTATAATTTCCCATCGTGAAATTAATGATTTTTATCAAAGACATACTTCCCTTTGGACCTTGGTTACCCAGTCCTTGTTTTGGAATGCTTACAATAGGGGGGGGGATTGACTTCCTTTTTAAATCGCCCCGCTCGTGCCAAATCCAAAATTTTGAACCCGGTTTCCCAATTACTCACGGGTTGTTGTTAATAGTCCAAATTTTCAATATAAGAAGTCAGCGCGCACCGTCGAAAGGCATGCGGCTGCGCCGGCAGGGAAAGCAGTGGACTCAAGCACCACGCCACTCCCCGGCACCCGATCCGAAGCCTTTAAAAAGGCTCCTTCACGAGTCGGAGGGCGCTAATGGTGCAAGCCGAGTCACCCATGTCCACGGACTCCGTGCCCGTGGTTTTTAAGGGTCCCCGCGTCGCCGGCGCAGTAGGACCCAGCCCCTGCCGAGCAGACTCCCTCCAGAGCTCGGAGGGAGTCCGCCATTCGGCGATGGCGCTAACCCGGAAGTCATAAAAGAGAGACCTTTTGAACCCTGGGCAACAGTTTGCCAGAAGTTCATGGAGCAAAAGGGTTTTGTTTTTGTCTTTTTGCAGTGTAGAGCCTGTTCATGTGCAGCGGTCCAAACCACAGATTTTAAAGAAGCAGTGCAGCTTAGTGGTTGGAGCCCCAAGTTTGAATTTCTGTGAAGCTCCCTGGGTGAGCCAGTTGCTTTGGGCCCAGCCTACCTCAAAGGGCTGTTGTGCGATGAAACCAGGGCAAGACCGTGTTCGCTGCCTTGAGGGCGCCCCAGGGAGGTCACTTTGGTGCTAACACATCGGTTTGACTTCACCCCTAGAGATGCTCTCTCTCTCTCGAGACAGACAGATGCCAGCAACAACAATTGAGCGATATACTGGCTGTGAACATGGAAGTTCTGATCAGCTGTGATGGCTGGCTGCTGCTAAATCCCTACCCATTGTGGGTCTAATAATCCCCTTTTTTAAAAAAAGAAAAGCTTCTGTATTTTTCATAAAATTATACTTAAACATTATTTTAAGCCAGTCATATACTGTGTTCCAGAAGCTTTTGATTTTTTCACAGGTCCACCAAACATGTATAAGTGCTCCCTCTGTTTTACCACACCTCCAGCACAGATTAGTTTTAGTCTTATACATTTTAGCTATTTTGGTAGGTGTTAAGTACCATCTATAAAACATCTTGATTAGGTTTTCCCTCAATACTTCACAGGCTGTAAATTTCCAGTTCTTTCTCCATAGTTCTTCCCATGCTGTTAAGTTAAGGCTAATCATCCCCTTTTGAAAGCTATCACTATGCCAGAGGAACCTGTACAGGTTATTATTTCCGTCCTCTGAGCGTATATCAGATGGAGATGGGGAACAGAACCGCCGGCCACTCCCTTCATTCCAAACACACTGCCGACCAGGAAAGGAAATGTTCTCTGAACACCGTGTTCCTACTAATCTTTATACGACCTGTAGAGGCAGGTGTTTCGCATGAGAAGAATGGGGAAAAGCTGGCGGTTACACAACGAGGCAGAGTTGTGTTGGAAGACTCAAACGTCTTCCGGCCGTTAAGGAGGCGCGAGCCTTATCGTCCTTTCTGGCGTCTTTCGCACACATGCCCGTGCAAAGCAGCTATCGGATCTGAGAGCCAGGTGCTTGACCACAGATTTAAGCGGCTGGGCACACGCCTTGGAAAGCAGCAGGCCCCGAGTTCAGCCCGTGTAAAACCAATAAGACACCTAACTGGTTTTACTGGTAGATGCTGGGGGTGCGAGAGAGAGAAGGCTGTGCAGACTAAACCACAAACACTCAGGGGGAAAGATGTTCCTTTTCCTTCCCTTCCCTTCCCTTCCTTCCAACAACTTAAGCAGCTTCTTAACCGGCTAAAAATATTTCTATTCCCCCGAGGCGTCTGATTATTTTCCTGACAGACACTACCTCAGCACCATGGAGTCAATATAAACCGACCACCCTCTTTGGCCTTCCTTTGCTGTGGGCGGAAAAGGCGAGAAGGAAAAAATGTAGGAAGCCACAGGAATTAAACATGGGACAATTTGCCTGTCTCAGGACGGCATCCCAGTGGCTTAGAACAGGGATGTCCAACCGGTTGACTGCGATAGACAGGTTGATCCCTGATCTGCGACAGTGAAAAGCAATGGGGTAAAAGTCCCCACGCCCCTCGTCCGTCAATCTTCTACTCCGCCGTGTCAAATTTTGCCGGCAAGTGAGGAAACGGAATTAGTTGTTCCTGCTTCGTCGTCGTTATAGTTGAACGATTTCCTTCCCTATTAACAACTTTGAGTTTGCCCCCCAAACCCCTTTAAAAAAGGTCAACAACTTTGGCTTTGCCCCCCCCAAAGGTCAACAACTTTGGCTTCCCACTTCCCAAAAATGGGTAGATCACTGCCAGTTTTTTATACTGGGAGTAGATCGCAGTCTAATAATAATAATAAAAAAATTTATTTATACTCTGCCCTCCCTGGCCAGAGCCGGGCTCAGGGCGGCTAACACCAATAAAATTTCAGTAAAAACATAATAAGAAAAAAGAAAGGGGGGGGGAAAGAATTTAAAATACAGGTTAAAATGCAATTTAAAATGCAGCCTCATTTTAGAAGACAAAACCATAAGGGGAGGGAAGCATAAGGGTCAGACTGAGTCCAAACCAAAGGCCAGGCGGAACAGCTCTGTCTTGCAGGCCCTGCGGAAAGATGTCAAGTCCCGCAGGGCCCTGGTCTCTTGCGACAGAACGTTCCACCAAGTCGGGGCCAGTACTGAAAAGGCCCTGGCCCTAGTTGAGACCAATCTAACAACCTTGTGACTTGTGATCTCCAAAATGTTGTCATTTGGGGACCTTAAGGTCCTCCGTGGGGCACACCAGGAGAGGCCGTCCTATTTTAAGCAAATTGTTTCTTTCTGGTCCAGGAATACAGCATTGCCCAGTCTTGTGTTTCATAGAATTGTAATGTTGGAAGTGACCCGAGGGTCGTGGTCCAAGCACCTGCAATGCATAGCAGTCCCACAGTTTCAGACATCATCATCATCATTATTATTATTATTTATTGAATTTATATACGACCCTTAGATATAGTGGGAGGGTGGGGCGTGGTTTTTCTCAGGAGGGTAGTAGGAGATGGGTGATTGACTCAATGGGTTTGGTAAACCTGCTGACAACTGTTAACGGCTGCAATTAGTCCTACAGGAAAAAGCAAGGGATAGTTTGCAGATGACCAGAAATAGCTTTAGCATATGTAATGAGACAAAAATTCAATATCTCTATTCAGACCAGGTCTCTCCATAGTTTTCAGTTTAGTGTTGTTGTTGTTTAGTCGTTTAGTCGTGCCCGGCTCTTCGTGACCCCCTGGACCAGAGCACACCAGGCACTCCTGTCTTCCACTGCCTCCCGCAGTTTGGTCAAACTCATGCTGGTAGCTTCAAGAACACTGTCCAACCATCTCGTCCTCTGTCGTCCCCTTCTCCTTGTGCCCTCCATCTTTCCCAACATCAGGGTCTTTTCCAGGGAGCCTTCTCTTCTCATGAGGTGGCCAAAGTATTGGAGCCTCAGCTTCAGGATCTGTCCTTCCAGTGAGCACTCAGGGCTGATTTCCTTCAGAATGGATAGGCTTGATCTTCTTGCAGTCCATGGGACTCTCAAGAGTCTCCTCCAGCACCATAATTCAAAAGCATCCATTCTTCGGCGATCAGCCTTCTTTATGGTCCAGCTCTCACTTCCATACATCACTACTGGGAAAACCATGGCTTTAACTATACGGATAAGTTGTAATTCAGCAACTTCTCTTTCAAGTTTATTCCCCACCCCACCCTCCCACTATATATAAGGGTCTGGTGACTTCTGTTTCAGTGTATCTGAAGAAGTGTTCCTGCCAACAAAAACTTAGTTAGTCTCTAAGGTGCTACTGGACAATTTTTTAATTTATTAGAACTTGATGTGATTGCAAAAACCGTTCAGTTTGCTTTAATGTTTTATTGTTTACGGCTACTTTTTGATACATTGTAGCTAGCTCTTTTCCCCATGTTGTAAGCCACCTTGAGCATGGTTTGAACTGTGGAAGGGCGACGTGCAAATAAAATTACGTATGTACAGTATCTCAAAAGGAGTTGTAGTCCACACAACAGGTGCAGCCACACAGAAGGCCCTGCTCCAAGTTACAGTGGTGTGGGCTTCTGGGATCTTTGGAGGCAGACCACAATGACCTACTGGGCATATAAGAGATAAGGCAGTCTTTCAAGTATAGCATTGTATGTTGCTTTCATTACCAGATTTAAGGTGCTGCTTTTGACCTTTAAAGCCCTTCACAGCCTAGGACCCTCGTACCTACGGGACCGCTTCTCCCGGTATGCCCTATGGAGGACCTTAAGGTCCATAAATAGCAACACCCTAGTGGTTCCGGGCCCTAAGGAAGTTAGATTAGCCTCAACCAGAACCAGGGCCTTTTCAACACTGGCTCCGGTCTGGTGGAACGCTCTGCCTCATGAGACCAGAGCCCTGCAGGATCTGATTTCTTCCCGCAGGGCCTGTAAGACAGAGTTGTTCCACCTGGCCTTTGGCTTGGAGCCAATTTGATTCCCTCCCCCTCTTTCTTTTTCCTTCTTCCTCCTGTGATGAGGCTGCATTTTAATGTTTTACGTTGTATTTTAATCTTGTTTTTAAGTTGTATTCATTCAACTTGTTTTTATTATTGCTTATTAGCCGCCCTGAGCCCGGCCTTGGCTGGGGAGGGTGGGATATAAATAAAATTTATTATTATTATTATTATTATTATTATTATTATTATTTGCCATGGATGCTTTAGTTGAGATTCCTGTGTGGTGGGGTTTGCATTAGGGTCCCTTCCAACTCTCCAACTGTAGAATTGCATCTGTGACGACAGTCATATTTTTAAAAAGAAGCACCTCATGTTGGGGTGCCGGGAAGACAGGGGGGGGCACGGAATTACCTTTATACACAACTGCTCTGAAACGCACCTTCTGACGGCTTCATTCTGTGAAATTTGCTTATGTAATTGCCTTTACAAGCAACGAGACAGGCATACCTCTCCCTGCCTGGGAGCTGAATGTGCCTAAATTTAGGACTCCGTCCAACAGATAAATCACTCCCTTTCCATCTAGTCACCCCATCGGCGCATGGTTCCTCTTCCGCTAGCTATTTGCATTTACAAATGTTGCAGGGAGGTCAGTGGAGTAAAGGGACTTGTGTAAGAACCTCGTGCTCTGCGGTGGAAGGATGGCAGTGAGCTCAGGGCTCTTCTGAGCTGTGTGTTGCCGTTGCGCAGAACAGTTCTTATGACCTCTGGATTTTTATTTTTATTCTTTTCGTGGCTGTCAGCTAGTTAAAAGAAATCTGAGTTGATCACAGGAGCCTTGCATCAATACAACACATGTTTATTCGGCAGTCAGTCCTGTCTTGTTCCAAGAAGAATTTGGTTTAGGGTTGCTGCATTCGTCGACTGATGAATCTGCACAGGTTTTGAATATGGGGGGGGGGGGATTTCTTGTAATAATGGAATACTGAGTGATATAGTTCAGCCTTTCTCAACCTGTGGGTCCCCAGATGTTGTTGAACTACAACTCCCATCACCCCTAGCTAGCAAGGCCAGAGCTCAGGGATGATGGGAGTTGTAGTCCAACAGCATCTGGGGACCCACAGGTTGAGAACCACGGATCGTTTCTGTAAAATATGCAGGGATTTATGATATGCAAAGTGAACCATGGAAAGAGAAGAAGGGAAGCCATTGTTATTTTAAGGATGTAAAAATGAGTGCTATAAATTGTAAAACAAAAAACGTAACGAAAATTATATACTATAAGAAAAAAAAACATTTCTACAGGAGAAAGTGTGCTGTGCGATTCAGACGATGATGCATCTGTTATAAAAAGAGAGCTATGGATAGCTCATTGGACTTCTGGCATAGTGAAGTGATTCAAAGGTTGTGGGTTCGAGTCCCACAGAGTTGCATGTTTCTTAAATCAACGGAGGTAGCTTAGTCAGTAGAGCATGAGACTCTTAACGTCTTAACCTCGTGGGTTCCAGGCCCATGATGGGCAAAATATTCCTGCATTGCAGGGGTTGGACTCAATGACCCTTGTAGTCCCTCCCAACTCTGCAAGACTTTGATTCTAAACTAGTGCATAGTGGAACTATGGAACTCCCTCCCACATGAGGCACCACGTTGGATGGCTTTAGAAGAGGATTAGGTTAGTTCATGGAGAAGGAGAGGGCTATCAAAGACTCCTAGCCATGATGGCCGTGATACACTTGAAGGGAGCAATCCTCCTGAATACCAGTGAGGGGAGAGTGAGCTTGTGTTTGCGGCAAACTTGCTGGTTTTTCACAGCTCTAGCTGGCCACTGTGGGAAAACGATACTCGACTAGATGGGCCTGTGGCCTGATCCAGTAAAGGGAAAAGGTAAAGGATCCCTGAACGGTTGTTGTTGTTGTTTAGTCGTTTAGTCGTGTCCAACTCTTCGTGACCCCATGGACCAGAGCACGCCAAGCACTCCTGTCTTCCACTGCCTCCCGCAGTTTGGTCAGACTCATGTTTGTAGCTTTGAGAACACTGTCCAACCATCTCGTCCTCTGTCGTCCCCTTCTCCTTGTGCCCTCCATCTTTCCCAACATCAGGATCTTTTCCAGGGAGTCTTCTCTTCTCATGAGGTGGCCAAAGTATTGGAGTCTCAGCTTCAGGATCTGTCCTTCCAGTGAGCACTCAGGGCTGATTTCCTTCAGAATGGAGAGGTTTGATCTTCTTGCAGTCCATGGGACTCTCAACCCTGGACGGTTAAGTCCAGTCAAAGGCACTCATCTCGCTTTCAGGCTGAGGGAGCCAGCGTTTGTCCCCAGACAGCTTTCCGGGTCATGTGGCCAGCAGGACTAAACCGCTTTTGGTGCAACATAACACCGTGACGGAAGCCAGAGTGCATGGAAACACTGTTTACCTTCCTACCACAGTGGTACCTATTTATCTATTTGCACTGGCGTGCTTTTGAACTGCTAGGTTGGCAGGAGCTGGGACAGAGCAACGGGAGAGCTCACTCCATTGTGGGGATTTGAACCTCCAGCCTTCTGATCGGCAAGCCCAAGAGGCTCAGTGGTTTAGACCACAGCGCCACCCACATCCCTACCCTGACCCAGTAGATCCTCTTAGGTTATATGCCATGTCTTAAGGTGGGGGAGGTATATTCCCCTCCTCTTCTCTCACACAATAGTGGACCTCTCTTTTAAAGATGTCTTGAGACATCTTTATCAAATATCTAAAGAGCTGTCACAGGGAAGATGGAGCGAGCCTGTTTTCTCCTGCTCCAATGGCTTCAAGTTGCAAGAAAGGAGATTCCCGACTCAACGTCAGGAGGAACCTTCTGACCGCAAGAGCTCTTCCAACATTGGAACGGGCTCCCTCAGGAAGTGGTGGATTCTGCCTGGA